TATATACAATTTTCTCTCGCTTTATACAAACACAAACACATTTTATATATTTGTGTTTGTATAAAAACGAGAGAGGCGAGCGAGACTGCCACCAAACAAGAGTGGTGAGCGAGATTCCACTAGGGAGAGTGGCGAAAATAGCAATAGTTTGCTATAGGGTACAATTAAATCAAAGTATATTTATAGCATTTAATTTGAATTAATAGTTTGCTATTATATACAATTTTCCCTATAATAAATCTCTATACCAATTTCGTTATCCAATCCAACAACCAAGAAAATAGGGGCCTCATAAAACAAAAAGTTATGAATTTATATTAACAAAAATAAAAAAAATATTACAATTAGACTCTCAATAATCCCCATCTCTATTTTATGATCGGACTTATACGGTTCTCAATAATTATATCACAATTTTACGGTCAAATATTATCCAAAAACAATGGATAATGATGAAATAGCATTAGCAGATTACGTTCAATATATGAGAATTAATATATATAGAGATTTATTTGATTCTTAGGTGTAAAATCGTATGTTTTGGGCATTATTTTTTATTTTTATTATTTTAAAAATATTTTTGCTATAAATTATTTTTTAATTATTGATATGTAGTAATATTTATACTTTATGTTATCATATTTCATATTGTAGTGTTTTTTTTTTCAAAAAAATATAAATTATCTTTTTCATAGAAAATGACATTATCATAAATATTTTTATTTGTTAATCATATATGAAATTGAGAAGATAAAGTTTTCATAGTACTATATATATTTCTGAGGCAATATCCATTTTTTTTATCACTGTTCATATATATTTTTTATCCTTCTCCTTCTTTGAAAATTGAAATATATAAACAATAATCAATGCAAAAATCAATTGAGCGTGAAAAGAACTAGTAGATGTGGAGATTGATGATGAAATGGATGATAATTTTATTTTCAAGATTGTCTCGACTATTATCATTTTTTGTAGGGGTGTTATTGGTACGGTTCGATCGGTTATATTTTAAAAATTATATCATTCCAATTTTTTGAGTATTTTATAATATATAACCAAAATTAGATTTTTTAAAACCATTTCAATCCTATCGATTTCTCTTTGGTATTGGTCCGGTTTGGTTAATTTTCAGTTTCTTTTTACTTTAAAAATATCACCTCAAAATATACTACTACTAAAATATTTCTTTCGCAAATATGTTCTTGAAGAAACACTTTAATTCTTCACCAAGAAGACAAGAATGTAAAACTTTGTTGCTGTATTATTTGATCTTAAACATTTAATAGGAGTGTTTGCATAGGTTTTGTTGTATTGTTTGATAGAGTATCTATTACAATATCTTTTAATTTTAACCTAATTAAACAGAGGCTAATTAAAGAGCAAAGACCCAAAGTCGTCTAGTCACCAGAGGCCTAGGACTAAGGTTATATTTATATTTGAAAATGTTATAAAATATATTTATATATTAAATTTAATATATTGTTAATAACTAAATATATCTACATACATATATCATAAGGTTATTCGGTTCGGTTCGGATTTTTTTTTTGGTTTTTTTCATAAATTTTTAAAACTATTCCAATTGTTCGGGACTATTATACACTTAAAATAAAAGTCCACGATTTTATTTTTTTTAAAAAAAATTTGATTCGGTTAGGTTCGGTCGATTTTTCATATTATTTTGACACCGCTAATATTGTGTGTGGATACCTTTCTCAAATAATAATTATAACATTTTTTCTATATTATTAGTGACTTTTTTGAATTTGTTGACATGATTATTGAAAATTTTACTTTTGCTTAGCTTATGCTCTTAGTAATAAAATTATCAAATTAAAGATAACAAGATATACACCCGGCCCGTAGATCCATGAGATTTACACTCCATGTTTAGGGGCGTACACCTCGTCATGTGCTACATATATAAGAGGTCTCACCCACTAGCGTATACAATTTTTTTTAAAAGAAGTGTCACATTTTAAAATGAAAAATAATAAATAAATTAATATGACACCATATATTCTTTTAATAAAAACAAAATCTAAATAAAATACAATTCACGCTCACTATCGTACCTTTTCTAAAAAGGTCATTTTAAAAAAATATTATAAAAAAATTTACATAAGTGTTTTTTTTAAAGAAAAATGTATTCAAAATAACTTTTTAAAAATAATAATAAATTATTTTTTTAATAACGAGCACCAAATGATCACTAAGCAACTTATTACTCATTAAGTTTCATAAATTATTCTTAATTAATTTTATTGGTGAGAAAGAAGGTGAAAGAAAAAAGAACATAAAAAATAAGCCGATAATGTCTTCTAGATTCGAACCGGCGAACTTATTACTCATTAAGTTTCATAAATTATTTTTAATTAATTTTATTGGTGAAAGATGAAAAAAGAGAAAAAGAAAAATAAGCGAATGATCTGGCGACCTTAGAAGAAGAAGAAGGAGGAGGAGGAGGACAAGGACAAGGAGGAGGAGGAGGAGGAGGAGGAGGCAATTGCAGAGAAAATGAAATCTACATGATTTGGGGAAATATCTTGCTTGCTCATTATGGACTCAGATATGTTACATTTATACAAAGAAAGAAAAATCAATTCTAATTAACTATGCACTAACCGACTAAATAATTATATCACACTTCTTTACATAATTAGCTAGTAACTAACTAACATAATTAAGTAACAGAATTAAGGCACATTAGTGCATTTTTCAAGCTCCTTCACACCCTCCCTCAAGCTAGGAGCTACGAAGATATTCTTCATGCCTAGCTTGGACATAAGATGATCATGTGAACCTCTTCCAAGAGCTTTAGTGAATATATCTGCAAGTTGTTTTGTTGAGCACAAATAAGCAGTCGTAATCAATCCATCATGTATCTTTTCTCTAGTAAAATGACAAAGATGTTTGGTTCTTTCGTGAAATACTGCGTTGGCTGCAATTTGCAAGGCTGACTTGCTATCAGTAAACAAGGGAACTGGAGTGACCAACTCTACACCAAGCTCCTTAAACAAACCAATGAGCCAGACCACCTCTGCATTTGAGGATGCCATTGCTCTATATTCAACTTCTACTGAACTTCTAGAGACAGTCACTTGTTTTTTTGATTTCCAGGATATAGGAGAAGTACCATACTTCACTAGGTAACCTATAATGGACCTGCGACTATTCACACATGATCCCCAATCTGCATC